GGGCGCGGGGGGGGTGGGGGGGGGCAGCCCAGGCGCTCCTGGCGGCTTTGCTCCCGGTGCCTCTGGTCTGCTGGGGACCATCTCCAGCAGACCAGGAACACCGGGAGCAAAGGAGGCGGAGGGGCACTGGGGTATAAGATGAAACCCTATCTTTTAATTAAAAAGATAGGGGGTCGTCTTATACGCCCAGTCGCCCTATACGCCGGAAAATACGGTAGATAAAAGTAGAGGTTGAGATAATTATAGCAGGGGTGGCCAAACTGGCTTGTGAGCCACAGGCAGCTCTTTTAGGGTATGTCTAAACTACGTCGCTTTTTTGATAAAGGGAAGTAAATTAGACATATTGAAATTGTACATGAAGCCAGGATTTGAATTTCCTGTGCTTCATTTACATAATGGCGGCTGCGGCTTTTTTTCGAAAAGCTGCTTTTCCAAAAAAAGAAAAGTCAAGATGGAGATCTTTTGACAGAAGTGCCCCATTTTGAAAGATCCTGTAACCCTCAAAAAATGAGATTTACAGGATCTTTCGAAATGGCATTTCTCTCAAAAGATCCCTGTCTTGACCATTGGGCTTTTTTCGTGGCCGCCATTTTGAAAGTAAAGTGCAAAAAATTCAAATCTCAGCTTCATTTATAATTTCGATATGTCTAATTTACATCCCTTTATTGAAAAAGGGATATAGTTTACATACTTTTAGGCTACGTCTACACTGGCACCCTTTTCCGGAAATGCTTAAAACGGAACAGTTTTCCGTTATAAGTATTTCCGGAAAAAGCGCGTCTACAAGCACTTTTTCCGGAAAAGCGTCCATGGCCAATCTAGATGCGCTTTTCCGCAAAATAGCCCCGGTTGTCATTTTCGCGATCGGGGCTTTTTTGCGGAAAAGACTCCTGTGCTGTCTACACTGGCCCTTTTCCGGAACAGTTTTTCCGGAAAAGGACTTTTGCCCGAACGGGAGCAGCATAGTTTTTCCGGAAAAACACTGACAATTTTACAGTAGATCGTCATTGCTTTTCCCAAAAAGCAAGCGGCCAGTATAGACAGCTGGCAAGTTATTCCGGAAAAGCGGCTGCTTTTCCGTAATAAGTGGCCCAGTGTAGACACAGCCTTACTGTTAAAAGTACAGCTCAGGAAGTCTGTGTCTCCTCCCTCCCCTTCCCCCTACTTCTTGATTTACAAGATTCCAGAGGAAGAGACAATTGTTCTCTGTAAGCTGTGCGCTTGTGTGTCTGTTCAGGAGAGATTCGGATGCCACCCACCCGATTAGCAGAGCACCCACAGAGCTAGGTATTATGTTTCTATTGGAGGTGCACATTCACAAATGCCTTGGTGCACATAAAATATTTGTTCCACACATGGATTGAAAAGATTAGCGGGAACATTGTTTGGGACTTCTGCCTTGTGGTGGGAGTAGGAGCTTTTGCCCAGTGGGGAGGGTGTTCATAGAGCTCCTGACCAATGGATGCCTCCCAAAGGGCAAATGCCCTGAGCAACTGCCTCTGTTAGTTGTGCCCCAGCCATTGAACTTTTGAAGACAGTCAGATGTGGGTTGGGAGGGCCAGTATGTTGGTCCACCCACCCCTGAATTGCAATAAAATAATTGTATTGGTCTACATCTCTGGTGCTCAAACTTTTCCAGTTGTGCCATTCTCCTTTCCCTCTCTTTCTCCCACCCCCAATCAATAATGGAATTTGTCTGCTCTCTTTCTCCAGTTACTGCACAGCCAAGGTTTTCTCAGAAGCAGAGTTTGGTTTGAAGGTAGAGATGGGGATGGAACTGGAAAGGAGGGCACAGCTGAGTCTGGGGGCAGAGAAGGAGCGAGGATGGAGTTGGGCCTGGACCTAGAGCAAGACTGAGGGCTGAAAGGGTCTGAGGTACAGCTGGCCTGTGGGTAATGTGGGGCTGGAAACATAGCAATATCTTCCTGCTCTGTGCGCCCCCTGCCCCCAGAACATTTGTTCCTCCTAACCCCTGTAGGGGACATGCCCCCCACACTTTAAGAATCACTGATATACATAAAAAACCAAACCCCTTTTGGTCTTACAACCAACAACTAAAGTTGACTGGGATATCACCTAGTTTGCAAAAGGTATGTACAGTACAGTACTTGGCTAATAGCTCCACCTGCTGCTTAATGTGTAAACTACACTATCACTGTTACAGGGAGCCATGTTCCTTCTCCCTTTCAGGTAATACGCTGTCATGGTAACTGCAACTCCTGTACATAGAAATGCTACACATGTGGGTCAATGGCAAGAGTATGAATAGACTTTACATATCTTTATATTCTGAGCAAGGTGTGGAAGGGGTAGGATTGAATGCTCCTGGGGCGGGGGGGAAGCACAGGAATATTGTTGCAGTGGGCTAGTTGAAGCTCTAGTGAGGATCCAACAGAACAGTTGGTTAGATTTGTTCTTTTTTTCTGCTTTGCCTTTCACAAATATAAACTCTGCTTCATTATCAGTATTGTAAGGTATAACAGACGCCCTGCCTATTCAAAGGGAGAATAGGACCCGGTGCTAGCAACAATGCCTAAATTCTTAAATTTGTGATTGTCGTGAAATGTTCTCTATTTCCTTTCCCATTTGTCATCTCTTTCTGTACATATGTCTATGGCTCATAGTTTTTATATCAGTTAGTACTTTCAACTATCTCTCTGCTTTTGAATATACTTTTTTCCCACAAAATTTTCCAGGCAGCCTGGCTGCACTCCTTGATCTTTGGTTCCTGTGGTGATGGCCAGCCAGTCTAGGTCAGAACTAAGGATGTTAAGGACTAGTCAACTATCCAGTAAGCAAATGCTTATCAGATAGTTGAGTCAACTAGTCGATTTCCCCCCCTCCCCCCGCTCCCTCCACTTCGCTGCAGATCGAGGCAGCACAGTGGGGGGGAAAGAGGGGGTACTTCAGTGGCAGCACTGTAAGGAGTTGACCCCGGGCTCCATGCAGTGCTGTCCCTTTGAGTCCCAGCTCATCCCGGATTCTGCAGAAATGCCACACAGAGCCCAGGATCAGCATTTCCATGAGGGCGCTTCTGCTTTGAAATGCACAAGAACCCCCGCTGGGGACTCTTGTACATTTCAAAGCTGGCACTCCCATGTGCAGCCCGGAGTCAGCTGGACTTTACCTTGGCTCCAGCTGCACGTGAAGTTCTACATTCCTCCTTTGAAATGTACAAGGGCCCCTGGCTTGCATTGGGTCCCCCTCCTACACTTCTGATTTTTAAATGTATTAAAAGGCAGCAGGCTCTTAATGCATTTAAAAAGCAGAGGCACAGTGTCTAGGAGTGGGTGCAAGCCAGGAATTAGCTGACTTTGGCTTACATCTAGTTCCCACTGTCCCCTTGCTCCCCGCGGAGCTGGTCCTGGGGTGAACGGGGCATGAGCCGAAGTCAGCCAATACCTTTTAAGCCAGCTCGCACCAGCTCCTTCTCCCTCACCCCTTTGCTGCCTCTGATAGAGATGGAGGGGAAGGGCGGGAGCAACTAGTCGACTACCCGATAAGCAAAAGCTTATCAAATTGTCTACTAGTCCCTTACATCCCTAGTCAGATAGATGGCTGTAGTAAAACAGCAAATGGTGTGATGCTGTAATAGAAATATTGAATTGATTGGTATTTTGGAATCTGATTTCACATAGACCAGACTGAGACGAATGAGGCATGTTACCCCACTACACTTAGAGATATTGTTACAGGCTGTGAGCTCACTCAGGGTACATCTACACAACAGTGTTATTTTGGAATAACCTCAGTTATTCCAAAATAACAAAGAGTGTGTCTATACTACAAGCCTTTATTTCAAAATAATGTTGAGCTGGAGGACTTCTTACTTCAACTCGTGGTAACCCTCATTTTATGAAGCATAAGGGAAGTCAAGGAATAAGTGTTCTTCCTTTGAGCTCCTGCTCTGTAGACGGTGCCAAAAGCCAAACTAAGCTATTTCGACTTAAACTACGCAATTGACATAGCTGCAGTTGTGTAACTTATTCTGATTTTAGCCTGCTGTATAGATGTACCCTCAGAGATATCTACTTTTGGCTCACTTCTTGATGATTAATTTTGGACCACAAAGGTTAGAAAGACATAGGAATTTCAGTTCTCCTTTTTAGTGTAATTCTCTGCCAAGATGCAAATTCAGTAGTCATGGAATACATGGGGCTCTTGAGGATCAGCCAGCATATAAGGTAAAAGGCTATATAATCTTTGCCTTGTGAGAGATTACTTGAAATAGTAACTTCTTGCTTCTTCCTCATATAGGACTCAAGGCAAAAACCCTGTTGCTACTGCTTTATTGAAATCATAGTGGCTGGAATAAGGGCCAAGAGTCTACATAAGAGATGTGAGAGTTTAACTGGTTAATCAATAAGCTAATGCTCGTTGGTACAGTTAACGGTTAAACTCCTGCAAGCTGGCAGCCTGCGGGGCCAGCAGCCCGCAAAGCCGGCAAGGCCAGGATCCTGCAGGTGCCCATCTAAGTCTGTAACCAGTGGAATTATGAGTTACACATAGTATTTTTAAATCCTTTTTACATCCTTAGTCTACATGTTTGCATTTAAATAGATTCTCATTTGGGATGAGAACAAATAATAAAAGTTAAGGCCAAAACGGCCAGATCTTTCCCCTTGATGATTAAACTGTGATATGACTGTAATGTATTGTGGCATTACAGACTTTGAAAGGTGACTTATCAAGGAGAAAAATAGGCATGTACTCATTCTTTGCTGCTTAATTGTGTAAGAAGACTTTTTAAACTTCTCAGCACTAAAAAAACTGATGTGGTCTATTCAGGAACTCATGGATACTTGGAAAACTAGAACAATTACAGGAGTAACAACTGAGCTATTGAAAAGATAAAAGGATTTTGTAGTTGGATGTTTAAACCAGGGGTTGGAAACCAGATGTGGCCCTTATCTTGTGTGGATCTGACCCTCGAGGCTCAGGGCTTCCCCACGGCATTGGGGAGTCCATGGGGCTGGAGCACACAAAATCTACTAGTCTGTGCCACCCATCCCCTAGGATCTGCTGTGTGAAGGGAATGTGGGGAATGTCTTTCTGCTTCTTAGTTGTGGGCCATGTCCAATGAGGATGTTTGTTTTTTTTGAACTCCTCACTTGTACGTGGCCTCCGACTGATTCCTCTTTGGGTCAGTGGCCCCCGACCCGAAAAAAAGGTTCCTCATCCCTGGTTTAAATCTGTCATTAACCTCTTTAATCCCAGTATCTAATAAACTTCTTGGAGAAGAAATTTCTAGATCTAGAGCTCGGCACCTTAAGATGTGACAAACTCAAAATTCACACTGTGTCTTCCAGCAAAACCAGGCAAAGTCATTGGAACGTTCTCCTGATACAAAGCTGAAGCTTCCTGAAATAAACTAAGATTGCCTTTTGAGCAGAAAGGACACAAAGTGTAACTATATCTTCCCTTGGAGGCCATTTTGTAGCTGGATTTAAGAAATTATTGGTAGTGAATCTTGTTGGTTTAATTTCTCTCTCCTTCATCTGCCTGGCAAATCAAAAAGCTGCCAGTGGCTCAGGGTGGTGGCCTGGGGGGGGGCAGGGCCTGGGGTGTACCTGAAGGCTGGCATCAGAAGGGCCACAATTAACCTTCCCTGGTCTGTCAAACTTCCTCCTTCAGAATCGGTTAGGTCCCGAGGGTGCCAGTCCATAGAAATTCAATCTTTATTTAATTTCTGAGTGCTTGACTTAAGATTGTTCTTTGAATGTGTTTCTTTCTGAGTAATCTAAGGAGGGGTTGTCCATGTGTATACCCTACTTCAAACATAAGTGATTTGTACAGTTTACTGAACCTCAAACTCTTCAGGCTGTTTTAGACAAAGTTGGCAGATCTTGATCTCTGATTTGGTTTAACTTTAAATTTTGACAACACAAAATCCCCCTTTTGTAAAGGGGGATGTAAATAGTGTGATCATATTAAAAGCTAGTTGCAGTGACTATAAAGAAAAAAATTAAAGCTAACTTTCTTCCATATATAGCTGCTGGGTTTTGTTCTGGGACTGTTCATACTTGAGTGCTGCATTAATTACTTGTTTAAGGGTTTTTTTTGATCAGATAATGTGGAATTCTGGAACTTTGCAAGCAAATCTGGCAGTCTGTGGTGTCCACTTCCACATGGGGTTCAAGACAGATATTCAAGTGTGTTTTTCAGCAATTTCGTTTTAGACTTGGTAGTAAAGATTGTACCTATCTAATTTGGCACCCTCAGGCCCAGACCGGTGCTGAACCAGAGAATTTGCCAAACCATGGTTGGTCAATATTGTCTAGCAACATTACCAACACTTTCATTGCTTACTGGGCTTTCAGCTAATTAGAGCTAAATAACACAGAACACTGAGAGCCAGGACTGGTGGCTGTAAACAAACTTTATGGGATCATGACAAATTTGGCCACACCCATGATAAGTGGACATCTGGTTAATTATTGGGTAGTCAAGTGACTACTCGCTTCCAAGGGGAAGGGGGGAAAGCTGGTGCTGGGGTGAGCTAGCTTAAAAGCCAGCCCCCCTCCCCCCAGCACTGTCTCCGTGGTGCGGGGTGGACAGGGGAGGCAGACCTGCAGGGTCACCTGGCTTACGCCACACTGGCAAGCTAACCCCGCTGCAGCTCAGCACTTCAAATTGTAGTAAGAGACCAGCAGGCTCTTACTAAATTTAAAGTGCAGAGCCACTGGGTCCCAGGGCAACACAAGCTGGGACTATTGGGGGCAGCATGAGCCGGGACTGAACATTCCCAGCTTGTGCCATCCCCAGTACGCTGTGGCTTTGTGCTTTAAATGTAATAAGAGCCCAGGGGGCTCATACTACATTTAAAATGCAGAGCTGCAACAGGAGCACACACCCCCATCAGCTAATCGAATAGTCGATGGAAGTTCCATCAACTACTCAATGAGTCAGTTAACCGATAGTTAGCATCCCTAGTTAAAACCAGGCCGCACCACAGATGTTGCAGGGTCCGAGAGTGCTAAAGAGAGATTTAACGTGGCCATGGAGCTTTGAGGAAAAGCAGCTTAACTAAACATACTTAATCTATCCAAAATGTGGCTTAGTGCTAGGTAAAGAGATTTAATATCGAAACCAGTCTATGAAGTAGAATTAATTCAGAATATACATCTTTGAAAAGAAATTATTTGAAGCATTTCTGTTGCAAATAGAGTAAATTGGAAATGGAAAATATTGTATGTAAGGTAACATTTGAACCTTTAGTGTCCTAAAATGGAGTGTATAAATGGTTATAATATATACTTTATCAAACTTACAGTCTGCAGCAAATCCAGAGTCCCAGTGTGCAAGCATCTCCAGGGAGGAGAACACCCAGTTGTCGTCAACAACCAGTCAAGGATATGTTTTACCAGAAGGAAAAATCATGCCGAACACAGTCTTTGTTGGTGGAATTGATATAAGGGTATTTACATGTTTTAACTGTGACATATATGCTGCAGTGACTGGACTGTTTTTTTGGTTTTTTTTGAAGTGGAGGGCAGAAAACAGAATTTTACTTCTTATAGGAATTGGCTGATCCCACGGCATCTACCAGTTTTATGGTATTGCACTGCTGTGTGAGATCTGAGTTCAGTTCCAGTTTTGTTCCTTAACTAGGTGAGCAGCACTGAACTGTGCAAAACGGTGGGTGGGTTTGAAAATGGCTGCTTTTTCTGTAAACCCACTTCAAACAATTGAGCACAAATTTGGAAAAGGAGTTAAGAGTTTCTTGTGGTGGTGGCCAGTGGTGTATTTTTTTTTTTATGATAAACAAATTTTGTTCCTTAGATGGATGAAACAGAAATTAGAAGCTTCTTTGCACGATATGGTACAGTGAAAGAAGTGAAGATAATCACTGATAGAACTGGTGTTTCCAAAGGGTAAGTAGAAAATTAATGATTTGTCTTGGTCATTAAATCTTTGCTAACCTAGTAATGTTGGTAGCCACAAATCACCAGAGGAGACATCACCATATGGGGAATTGGACTAACTCAACCATAAAACATATTATTAAAATAGTAGAGCCCTGTCTGTATTACTAATTCTGGAAGTGGTGAATTACAGATAACCCATATGCTACCACAGACTCAATTAAGGTGTAGCTGATCTTATAAAGAACAATAGTGTGTGCTTTAGCTCAGGGGTTTTCAAACTCTGTGTCACAGCTTGTAAGGGCAAGCTGCTAGCTGGCTGTGAGATGCTTAGTTTACTTGCAAAGGCACAGGTATGGTCACCACTTTCCACAGCTCCCATTGGCCATGGTTAATGGGAGCTGTGATTACCTGCATCACCACAGGTACGGTCAAATAAAGTGTCTCATGGCCAGCTTGTGGCTTGCCCTTACAAGCTGTAACCCAGAGGTTTAAAACCCCTGCTTTAGTTCACTTAATAAATCTTGCTTTTCTGTGGGCATTTAGGGGTATAACCACTGAATTGGTCAAACTAGCATTGTCTGCCAAATGCAAACAGCTTGAGATGGAATGAAATTCTTTTTAGATCATCTGCTTTCATTGTTTTGGAGGAACAGTAATCATAGATCCAATTCCTAGGCATGTGCTTTTTCACCTGGAAAGAACTCTTTGATCAGCTCCTTTATACCTCCTGGCCCATCCTTTCCTTTGCAGATTGTGATGTACCTTATAGAAGTAGAAGTCATGGTTATTGGTAATGTGCTAGACAGATGAATAATGTGGATCAAAACTACTGTTTTGTCTATGCTTAATATAATACACTCTTGTTGCTCCAAGTCTCACATCATCTCAGTGATAAGACCAAATACAATCCGGCTGTGTCTAGACTGGCCAGTTTTTCCGGAAAATCAGCCGCTTTTCTGGAAAAACTTGCCAGCTGTCTACACTGGCCGCTTGAATTTCTGCAAAAGCACTGACTTCCTACTGTAAGAAATCAGTGCTTTTTGCGGAAATACTATGCTGCTCCCGTTCGGGCAAAAGTCCCTTTTGCGCAAAAGTTTTGCGCAAAAGGGCCAGTGTAGACAGCTGAGATTTGTTTTCCGCAAAAAAGCCCCGATCGTGAAAATGGTGATCGGGGCTTTTTTGCGGAAAAGCGTGTCTAGATTGGCCACGGATGCTTTTCCGCAAAAAGTGCTTTTGCGGAAAAGCGTCCGTGCCAATCTAGATGCTCTTTTCCCAAAATTCTTTTAACGGAAAACTTTTCCGTTAAAAGCATTTCCGGAAAATCTTGTCAGTCTAGACGTAGCCTCCCAGTTTCACAAATTGGGGAAACCAAAACTATGGTGAAGTGAATTGCATCACGTCACACTCAGTCTCAAATGAGAATCAAATCCCTAAACTGGAATCTAGCTGGCACTTTGTAATAAATACACTATTCATATCCATTTTTCGTTCACAGAATCCAGCAGCAGGATATTGAGTTGGATTTGACTGTCTTTTGGGGCATGTTAACCCAATTTATGCTTTGAGCTTTTTCAAAACAGGCTTGCAAGTCACACTGAACTTTTTTCCTTTTCCTTTTGCAGATACGGATTTGTATCCTTTTTGGACAACGTAGATGTTCAAAAGATAGTGGAAGTAAGTTAATTAGCTATTTGGGGATGCCTACATTTGTATCTGTATTCTGCTGTTTATAAACATAGTTGCTGGGCATGCACTGGCTATATTCTACATGCTGCTATAAATGAATCTGAAAGAATAGTCAGGTTTTTTGCTTTTTAATTATTTTGCTGATTTTTTTTTTCAGTCACAAATAAACTTCCATGGTAAAAAACTGAAACTGGGCCCAGCAATCAGAAAACAACAAAATTTATGTAAGTACATCTAGACTGGTATTTTAGCTTGTTTCTCCTTATGAAAGGATGCTGATTTAAATATAACATTGTCATTTGTTTCTATGGTACATACAATCTTGTATTATTAGTATGAAAAGTGTTACAACTAAAGTAAATCTAAGTACAGTAAAACTCCATTGGTCCGGCATCCAATGCTCCAGCACTCCTGATGGTCCGGCACCATCAGGAACCTGGAAGTGCTGGGGCAGCCGGACAATTGGAGCTGCTCTGCGCCCGGCTTCCCTGATTCAGCCGCTGCTGAAACTGACGAGCAGCTGAATCAGGGAACCTGGTGGCAGAGCAGCTGGGGTGCTGCCAGGTTGTTCCCGTAGCGCCGTCCCTCGGGGCGGCGGGACCATCCCAGCAGCACCCCAGCTGCTCTTGGGGATGCCTGGAGCAGAGCAGCTGGAGTGCTGCCGGGTTGGTCCCGCAGTGCCGAGGGGCGGTGCTACGGAACCAACCCGGCAGCACCCCAGATGCTCTGCCCCAGGCGCCCCTATTCAGCCACTGCTGAAACTGACCAGCGGCTGATTCTGGGAAGCCCGGGGCAGAGCTGGACTATCAGAAGGGGGAGCTATGAGGGGCCTGGGGTGGCATCCCCCCACCCCAGACCCCTCCTAGCTCCCCCTCCTGATAGTCCGGCATATCTGATAATCCGGCACCCCCTGGGTCCTAAAGGTGCCAGATTATTGGAAGTTTACTGTAATTGCTATCGGTCAATACTGAGACTTTTTTTACTTAGATTTGGCCCCCCCCAAAAAAATTGATTCATTTTTTACTATCCTAATGTCCCAGCATGTAAACTGCAAACACTGCTGAACACCTCAATTGTTCTGCAATTAATTTTAAATTTTTAAAAAATCATTTAACCATACTTATCTGAATTATAAAACCTTAATTTTGGGCCTAAACTACTGAAAAAAAAATGTTGTGAATCGTCACTCTCTCTTTAACTAGGTGCTTACCATGTGCAACCCAGACATCTGGGTTTTAATCCTCCTGTGCCACAGTTTCATAGCATGTGGAGTAATCAAAACACGGAAACATACATACCTCCTCCAGCTGTGATGAGCCCAGTAACTCAATATGTTCAGGTAAGTTTATTTCTTTATGGTCTGATATTTTGGATCATAACTCTGCTCTTCAAAGCACTAGAATGTAACACTTCTGATCCACGCTTATTTGACCTCTGAAATAAGTACAATATGAATTTTAAATCTTGACATTCATACACCTAAAAATGTGAAACCTGTAATAGCAAATCTTTGTATAGAGTGGCCATTTTGAAAGATACCATCAACTTGAAATCTAATCTACTTTGAAATACGGATTAAACTATAGTTTTTTTGTACTGTACCTGCCCTGGAGTCCTCCTGTCCATTATTATGATTTTTTAACAATCTATTTCCTATTATTTCTCTTTTCTGCACACCCTCCCCCCATTAGAAAAATTGAGGTGGGGAGAGGAGTGATTATAGACAAAGTGCTGTTAGAATAAAGTTAAAGATAGGTAATCTGATTACTCTTCATTTAAAAAAAAAATAGTTGTAACTAGCAAATAATGCACCAAGTGCAGACAGATGTGCCTTCTAAAGCAGGCAGATTTAGAAGTACCATCGTCATAAAGCTTTCAGTAGACTTCTACTTTTTCTAGAATATTGATGTTTGCAGTCACTTACTAACCGACTGTATTACAAAATATCTCTGAACTATGGAAACTCCCTTTATATTTAGGAAGAGTATTGCTTTCAAATGAAGTTAAAGCATAAAAACAAGTATTGGGTGAGACCAAAAGTTCATCTAGCCCAGATTCTGGGTCAGACCAAAGATTCTGACTGTGGCCAGTACAAGAGGCTTCAGAGGGAATAAGCTAAACAGTTAGGGGATGGATTACTTCATGACTGTTACCTATTCCCAGCTTCTGGTAAAGCCAAAATCTTCAGCCTGGTAATGCTACTCGGAATGAAGCGAGAAAAGAGAATCAGGGGAGTTGCCTAAATAAGAGATCTTGAGCTTTAGAGGGGTAGCCAAGTTAATCTGTAACTTTTAATTTTTTTTAAGAGATCTTGAGTAGTTTGGAGGTTGCTCCCAATGCATAGCTCAAATTGCATAGCTTATTTTGAGCTACAGGTGCAGGGTAGACATGCTTAGAAACAACTACTTTAATTTATGGTCAAATGCAGTTCGTGGCTAAGGACTTGTCTATACAAACATTTAGGCTGTGTCTACACAGCAATGTTATTTTGAAATAACTAGTATTATTTCAAAATAACATACAGTTGAAATACTGTCAAGCTGGTGGACTTCTTACTGTGACTTCTGTAATTCTCATTTTATGAGGAGTAAGGGAAATCGGAGGAGGAGTGCTCCATTTCAAAATAAGTGCTGTGTAGACAGCACCAAATCTCAAAATAAGCTGTTTTGAAATAAGGTACGCAATTGACATAGCTTATTTTGCATTAAGCCCTGCTGTGTAGATGTGCCTTTAGTGTGCAGAAGCTAGATTTACTTGCTGTCTTGCTTTTAAACTCTGTATCTGTATAGATAAGCCATGAAGTTTCTGTTGTTCCTTGGGTTCTTCAGGGCGGGGGACTAGGAGTGTGGGGAGTGCAGGAGTCAGTGCAGGGAGTTGGATGGGAGGTGCTCAGGGTAGGGGGTAGTGATGTAGATGTCAGAGCAAGGAATGGGGGGCTACAGGTAGGGGGCTGGGAGATATGGGTGGACTCACCAGGGGGAGGATGGCAGTGCAGCTCCTCCCCCCACAAGCACCTGGGGCAGGTGGGACTGCAGGTGCCTAGTCCCAGCCACTAGCTTCTTGGGATATGAGGGGAGAGCTGCGGTGCTTCTGGGAGGTTGGGGTTGTAGTGCCCGGCTCCGGAGGGACAGCCAAGGGGACGGGATTGCAATGCCTGTCCTCGACCACCAGCGGAGCTTCTCCGAGGGAGGTCAGTGCTGCTGGTTGGTGCCCTCCTCCCATCCAGCACTGCGGCCAAGGCCCAGGGCAGGCGCCCTTTTACGTAGGCTGGTGGCCAGCAACATCACTTTCTTCCTGGTGCAGCCACACCGCTGTGGTCACTCTGCAGTATAACTGTCCTTATCAGCCCCCTCCCTTTCCGTGTTAAGGAAAACAGTCCCATTCCAGGTACATGCCTTTTTCCTGGCACAACTAAACCCTGATCTTGCTTTAAGTTAGGATAAGAGGAAGTGGCATACCAAACTTGGTGGTCTTAGCTCGTACTATTTAGGAGTAGTTCTAGAACAAATGGGTTCACAAAAAAACAGATAATGCACAAACTAATCTGTCTGTCTGTCTGTCTATCGACTCATTGAGGCTCAGTGAGACTGACTTACTCTGTGGCAAGCCAAAGTTTGGGTCTACAATGCCCTAGCTTTCTGGGCCTTGATGTCCTCTGTGGAAACTGCTTCAATGCAGTGAAAGCCCCAGAGTGATGTTGGAATATGTTAACATTCTATGAGGGTACTGCTTACTGTACAGCAAGCTGGTGCACTGTAGATTTACACCATGGTTTGCTACTCTGTAGGTAGCAGTGTAGACAAGCCATTAAGCTCTTAAGTGCTGAAGATCCTTTTGAAAATAGGTCTTGGACACTTAAGGTGTGTTCACATTGTAGCCAGGGGTGTAATTACTGGCTCCCGTATAACCACCCATGCTGACTGTGATTCATTTACTATGCTAAAAATAGCATATACCTATTAGGGATGTTAAACGTGTAATTCATTAATCGTGTAGTGGATAAAAATTTTGTCAACTACATGATTAATCATAAGGGTTTGCATTGCAAGCACTCAGGCCTGGCTCGCACCGGGTCCTAGCAACTACCGTTGCTGCTGCTCTGCATTTCAAACCCTTTAAGAGCTGCTGCTCGCTAAAAAATTTATTTGCGGAGGGCGGGGGCATTGCATGTAGTCGAAAGCGTTAACCAATAAGCACCGACTTATTGTTTAATCAACTACACTATTATATCCCTGGTACTTGTGGGCTAGCCACTCTCAGTACAAACCCACCTGAATCCCTAGGGATTTATTTGGTTAACTAGCTTATGCACTGCCCGTATATTGCTAACTTTGTGTGCTAGCCCAATCAATGGTGCCAGTAGGTTTATCAAAGGAGGAAATAATACCCTGGCTGTCATGCAGATGTACTTTTTCCTAATCTCTTTAACCTATGAAATGCAAACCTTTTTTTAAAGGCATATCCATATGGGTCACAAGCTGTACTGATACAACAGCAAGTTCCTGTAGGATACCAGCCCACCTACAACTATCAGGTACATATTTTTAAATGGCTTAATTTATTTAAAACATTACACTCACTTATCTAAACATTCTGGCGACTAGATGTTGGAACTCAATTTGTTGGTTCAGTGCTTTTTTTTCCCTCAAATATCTTTCTGCAGTGTTACTTCATAAATCTTTCATTTAAGGCTGCCAGTTAATCACAGGTAACTTATGTGATTAACTCAAATTAATTGTGATTTTAAAAATTAATCACAACTAGTTGCCATTTTAATCACACTGTTAAACAATAGAATACCAATTGAAATTTATTAAATATTTTGGGATATCTTTCTGTATTTTTAAATACAGTAAAAATCCTTTTATCTGGTGTGAGTGGGGAGTGCCTATAAATTAAAAAAACTGGTTGGTTAAGAAGGAAGGGTTTGGAGTGTGTGGGGGGGGATGTTGCTGGACAGGGGTGTGGGAGGGGCTCCAGGGTACAGGCTCTAAAACAGAGCTTGGATCTGGTGGGGGATTGAGAAGGGTTTGGGGTGCTAGATGGGGCGGGGGCAAGCATTCACCTGCAGAGGCCCCTCAAAATAACTCTCTGTCCCTGCTGCTCCTTCAAACAGTCGAGCAAACTCACTCGCACCAAAAGGTAGTACACTCACCTGGCAGCCTGTTCAGCAGCAGGATCTCTTGCTCTCCCTCTTAAATTCCCCTGTCTGCAGCCCCCTGTCCTGACACAAGTATTAAATGACATTTTAGTTTCAGCTTTCATCAAAAAGATTTGTAGTGATTGGATATAACAAGGTGAATGCCAGTAAAAATGAGGTAGGATCTGAT